ATACTCTAGGGACGAACAAAAAAAATATAATATATTAATTTTTAGATTATAATTAAATTTTCAATCATATAATATTTTTTAGATTATAATTTGATTTCCAATCATATAATATTTTTTTATATCATGCAAATATCATAATATATATATATATATATAGTAATTTAGTAAAATATGATTATAATATACCAATTATTTGAGAAAATTTTTGGATGAAAATGAAATATTAATTTTCAAGTGTAGTTAGATTTATAGTGTGTGGGAAAAATGACATAAAATATATAAATTTATAATTTTTATAAATTACAGCTATGATTTGAATTTATAATTAGTTGTGATTACTTAACGCATGTCATGATTTTTGTTAATGATTTTAATGTGTTAATTATTTGAAAAGGGTTTAAAATGAGCATAATAGTTAATGTGAAAAATCAATGTCTTGATATTTTTTTGTTTGAAAAAATGTGTTTAATATTAGGCAAAAAATAGGATGGGAGACTATACTAGATTTAGTATTATTAAGATTATGTTTATTGACCTACTCAATGTTGTTAATGTAAACTTTGTAAACCCTCATTTACATGTTTTCTAGCGAAATTTAGTAAACTCTCATTCATATGACTTCTCTCATTTAAGACAATGACCCACTATAGGTTGGGTGATTATTTTCAATTTAAGAGGCTTTATTTATTGACCTAACATCCTAATCTTAAAACTTGAAACAAATCCCTAAAGTAAGTACACATATTTTAATTTTAAAGAATATCCTAAAGACAAGTAATATCTTTCTATATTTGAACAATATCATAGATATTTAAAATTAAAAATTTGAATTGTTATCTCAACAACATTGTCATCATTACCACTATCACAACCATCATTGTTGTCACCAACATCATCACTTGTCACCTCACCATCATTGTTGCCATTGTCTCCATTATTATCATTATCGTCACCACCACAATCATCACCACTGTTGTCATGTAGTAGTGGTGACGATGGTGGTGGTAACAACAACAATAATGATGACGATGATGGTTGTGGCGACAATGATGATGTTGGTGATAATGGTAGCGATAATAATGGTGATAACAACGGTGACAATATCGATGATGACAATATTGATGATGACAGTGATAATGGTGATAATGATAATAATGATAATGGTGTTAGTAATGTTGGCAACCATGATGGGTGGTGGTGATGGTGGTAATTGTGGAGGTGAAAATAGTAATGATTTCATAGGCTAGATATATATAATTGAGTTTTAATATCAACCATTATTTTTTTATTTTTTTATATATAATCCAAAGACTATTATTAATAGTTCTTTTTTCATGTTTTAAGAGTTTTATTGTGCGATGACATTTTTAGGGATCTCTCTTTAACGAAAATGTTTTTAGGATTTTTTTTTAACTTCTTATTTGTTTCAATCTATATTTATCAAACTCGTTTTAAATTAAATTTTAATATTTTTAAAATAAAATATCAATAATTAAAAATAATCTTATGTCATAATAAAAATTTAAATTATAATTTATATGTTTAAAAATGTCTATTTATACATAATTATATATAATATAGTTTATATATGACTAAAACATACTTTTGGTTCTTTTATTTTTATTTTTGATTTCAATAAATAGAGTTTTATTTTGATCCATTTAAGTATATTCATTAGACCAAGTGTATTTTGTTGTTACTTTATAACACTAATTTGGTTAATTTAATGACACATGACAAAAATGTGAGAATAACACCTAAGCTAAAAAAATATATATATGTATTATAAAAATTAATGAAAAGACCAATTTTAATAATAAAAATACTTTAAAAGACAAAAGTGAAACTTAAGGGATCAAATTTTCAGTTTAACCTTTATAAATAAATATATATTAAAATATAGTATTGTTTGTATGACTAACATTGATTGATATAAAATGGTAGTAACTTTAGTCACTTAACCAAGTTGTCCATATTCAAATTCTCATCTTAGATATGAAAATAAATTACTTTAGAAGAGGAATAGTCTCTGTTTATAAAATAATTTATTTATTATAAATTATAGATATACCAAATTAGCATTTATCATATACATTTGACAATTGTAACTAGATGGTTTACCTTGCAATGCACGAAGATTTAGTTAATTTTTTTTATCAATAATAAACTAATTTTTATCTAGTAAAATAAAATTTTTTTCAATTTTTTTTTCTAAATATTTATATATATATATATATATATATTATAAAAAAATTAAGCAAATATATGTACACATATATATAAAAATAAAAGGAATATGTATATTATTAAGGTTTTCTCTATTTATTTAATTTGTAGAATTGGAGAACTAACACAATAGGACGGTTAAAAATATGTAGAGCCTTCTTCAAATAATTTATCAAAGTTATCAATACAATTTGTGTGATATAGAAGCTTGATTGTTAATGGGTAATGATAGAAAATGTTTAAAAATATATATAAAAATAATTTTGGAACGATAAATAATTGATAATGATATTTATAATTATTAGGAATTAGTAAATGATTACTAACGTGTAATGGATCCTGATTTTAAATTTATTCATTGCAAAATTTTTATAATACAAAAATATTGAAATAGCATTTTTATACCTTACTTACTACTAAAGTATATTGATCAAAAAAACGATTACTTCTTATTACTAATTAGTAATTAATAAAATATATGATTTTATTGATTACTAATAATTACTAACTAAAATTCTTAAATAATTACTAACGAATAATGAGTAATTTTAAAATGATTTTATTTGCTAATTATTTAATATATTTTTTTTATCATATATAATATTTTTAATAATTAATTTTAGTAGCAATTTAATATTAAAATACAATTTTGATATATTTGTATCTAAATTTATTTTTTTTAAAATGTATTTAAAATGAAAATAATTTAATAATTGATAAAAATGTGTGATTTTAAAATGATTTCATTTACTAATCATTTGATATTTTAAGGTATATTTTTTTATAATTATTTTTAATAATAATTAGTAATTAGTAAATAAATATTAATGCATAATAGGTGTTGGTATTAAATTTATTCATTGAAAAGTTTGTATAATATATTGAAATAACATTTTTGTACGTTACTTACTACTAATATATATCAATCAAAATAATGATTAATAATCATTATTAATTAGTAAATAATTACTAATTTATAATGGATGTTGATGTGAAATTTATCCATTGGAGATTTTGTACAATACTAAGAGATATTGAAGTAGAAAAATTTTCCATTTAAGAAAAAAATATTTAAATGAAAACGTTAAAAAATTTTATTAACATTAATTAATATTGTTTTAATTTTATTAATCAATACTAAGATATAAGAGAAAAATGTATATGTTATATTTTTCATGTATAATTATTTTTTATAATTATTTTCAGTAGCATTTTTGTAGTTACTTACTACTAGTGTATATTAATCAAAGTAACAATTACTAATTATTAGTAATTATTAATTAATAAATAATTACTAAAAATTTCATTTAGGAAAAAAAGTTTATATAAAAATGTTAAAAATATTTTATTAATGTTAATCAATATCATTTTAATTTTATTAATTAATACTAAGATATAAGAGGAAAAATGTATAATTTATATTTTATGTATAATTATTTTTTACAATTATTTTTAATAACATTTTTGTATATTACTTACTATTAATGTATATCTATCAAAATAACTATTACTAATTATTAGTAATTAGTAAATAATTACTAACCAATAAAAGTCGCTGATATTGATTTATTGAAGTAAGAAAAAATTTCATTTAAGAGAAAAATCGTTTAAATCTTTTATTAATATTAATTAATACCATATTAATTTATTAATCAATACTAAGATATAAGAGGACAAATGTATATTTTATATTTTTTCTTGTATAATTTTTTTTATAATTATTTTTAGTAACAATTTCATATTAACTTCAATTTTGATATATTTGTATCCAAATTTAAAAATTTTAATAATTATTTTTAGTAGTAATTTAGTATTAAAAATACAATTTTAATATATTTTTATTTACATTTAAAATTTTATATATTTAAAATGAGAATAATTTAATAATCGATAAAATGTGTAATTTTTAAATAATTCTATTTACTTTAGTATAATAATTTGATATATTTATGTTATTTCAATAATTATTAAAATATTTTTATCCATATTTTTTAATTTTGATATATTTGTGTGGATATATTTACTCATAATGTTTTATATAATAACATATATAATATATAAAATATACAAGAAAGAGATATCAGAAGAAATAAATACTTAGTACATATTTATAGGAAAAAAATTATATATGTAAAATGTAGTGGATATTAATTTATTTTATTTTTGTAATAATAATATTCATATAAAAATATTTTTGAAAAGTATTGAAAGGGTATTGGGGGGGGGGGGGGGGG